AACCCAGATGATAACACAAGTGTAGTACCCATAGCAGAATAGGAAAGCTGTGTCACAGACAGGAAGGGGCATCAGGCATTCATGGGACATTTTGGATAGGTTAAACCAAGATGTCTTTTACTTTGCTTCTTCTTGTCTGTCATACAGAACAGTATTCTGGGGGAAGAAAAGCGGTTTGTAAAATTACATTATTTTACTGGAAGTGATTTTCTCCATCATATGTTATACTTTAAGGGAAATAGGTCAGTCATTTCTCACTTTGAAAGCTCATTAAAAGATAAATAGAAGTGTACCTTGCCTGGCAGGATGGTATTGCAGCATTCATGATCTAGTGCTGAGTAAGACCACCGATGTCTTTTCTCCCTTGGAAGTCTGACATGAAAGATAGCCATATAACTTATATCTCAAATGAAGGTATTTCATGCCTGGCACTGAAAATTTTGTTCAACAATGCATGTCCCCTTAGATCAGCAATGTCCACCCAAGCAAGGTACATTCATTAAAATTCTTTTTTTGATTTACATTTTAATATTAGCTTATAAGCTATAGGATTTCCATGAGGTTTGTAAAACATCTTTAGTTTTTATTAATATCCCTTCAGTACCTATATATATATATATATGTTTTTATTTAAATTAGAAACATGCTTGCTTCACATGTCAATCCCAGCTCCCTCTCCCACCTCTCCTCCCTTGTCCTTCCACCAGACCCTCCCAATCCCCCAATCTTCACACCATTCCCCAGGGAAGGTGAGGCCCTCTATGGGGGGATCTCCAGAGTCTGTCATTTAATCCAGGGCAGGACCTAGGCCCTTCCCCATGTGTCCAGACTGAGAGAGCATCACTCCATGTGGAATGGGATCCCAAAGTTCATTCGTACACCATGGTAAATACTGATCTACTACCCAAGGACCCAGAGATTGTTGAGGCCTCCTCACTGAACCTACATTCTAGGAGTCTGGATTAGTCCCCTGCTGGCCTCGAGCCATCAGTCTGGGGTCCAAGAGCTCCCCCTTGTCCAGTCAGCTGTCTTTGTGGGCTTCACCAGCACAGTCTTGACCCCTTTGTTCATCACTCCTCTATCTCTGTCACTGGATTCCAGGAGTTCAGTTCAGTGTTTAGTTGTGGGTGTTTGCCTCTGCTTCCATCAGTCACTGGATGAAGGTTCTAGGATGGCATATAAGGTAGTCATCAATCTTATGATCAGGAAGGGGCTATTAAGGTAGTCTCTCCGCTATTGCTTAGTTTGCCAGTTGGTGTTATCCTTGTAGATCTCTGGAAATCTCATTAGTGTCAGCTCTCTCCTCAAACCTATAATGACTCCATCTATTAAGGTATCTCTCATCCTACTCTACTCCATTTTTACTCAGACTCAACCTTCCTGCTCCCAATTTACATTTAAACTTTAACTGCCCCCCCATGGTATCTGTGCTTTTCCTTCATAATGCTTTCCAAATACTGTAATTTGGCAATGTCCAGCTCCTCATTTATGAACAAGCCAGAACAAGAAAGCAAAAATTTTTCTTTAAAAGCATTCTCACTATCTCTCAGTAATATAAACAGTTCAGCTCATGCAATCTAGAATAATTCATCCAAATCTGGTTTTCATTAATATTTGTATTTGCTAAGGCATGTCTTAAATCAGGCTTAGTATCTTTGAAATGCTTGTAGTAAAAATGATTTCAAGTTTTTGCAAGTAAAAGAAGAAGATTCTATGACATATAAAGTTACAGTACTCTATACTTGTGGAAAGAAACAAAACAAACAGATATAAGGAAGGATATCAACAGTATCCTGGGAAGCATTCAATTTCAGTTGAACACACGAAAACATTAGATACTTGTAGTCTTTCAATAGTACACAACAGTAGAGATGCATGAGAAGGTCAAGGAAACATTTTTTAAATTATTTAAACAACTTATTTCTTTTATTTCTTGTAACTATAGTACAATTATATCACATCTCCGTCTATTTTTATCTGTTCGAACCCTCTCATATATAATTCCTTCCTCTCTTTCAAATTCATGACCTCTTTTTTCATTAATTGATGTACATGCATATACATATATGTATATATATATATATATATATATATATACCTCTAAACAACTAAATGCAACCCATTTACTGGTATAAACTGAGATACTTTTGTCTTCACGTTTTAAGAAAAGGAGGATGTATCTCAGCGTATAATTGCAAAAGTAATTAAGTTTTGTCATGATTACTCAAAAATAATGAGTTTTATCATAACAGTTTCACAAATGTACATCATGCCCTTTTATCATACTCCACCATCACTCTGCCTTACTCTTTACAGCTGGCTTCCTCTTAAAAGGAGATCTTTGCCATAAAATGGGCATTTAATGGCAAGCATATCTGACAGAAGACCCAAGGATTGTCAAATGAAATGTGGAAATGAGGATAAGAATGGTTAATGAGGGTTATTCATTGCATTCATCATCACCAATAAATCTCAGTCATCAGGGAAGCTGTCAGGGTTCACAACTTCCTTTTATTTACCATCTCTACAGTATGTGTGTTGTTCATCTTCCATTTTATAATGCCTAAATCTTCTCTATCAGACATGTCTATTGTTTATTAGTAACAGATAAAAGCATTTACCTTTTGATCTCCTATGATGTACTTAAGACCAATTCTTCTAATCTATGTTTTTGCCATGACTGTTGTATTTAACTGTGATTTCAATTTTATTCTTTTTCCCATCCACTTCCAATATTTAGAAAGATTCATATTCCTTATAGGCACTTTCATTGTCAGTTTTAATTTTTCCTACTCATTACTAGAGACTATTTTTTTCACCTCAATCTGGAATACCAAATTCTGAAAAATTACTAGGTGTTTTTTTTTCTCCTTTGGTTTCTGCTACTTTGTATTCATTTCTATCAAAAACATAATATATTACTTAATAATAGTTTGCTAGTGAGATTTGAATGATAACAATATAAGACATGATTTATTATCATTTCTTCTCATTATGTTTTAAATTTCAGGCCTATAGAAAAGACTCTTGCTTTCAGAAAAAAATGTTTTCTCTTGAAAATTAAGGGTACTAAGTGTCTAATTTCAATTTACATTATGCCAATATTTTCAATTATGTGGATCACCAAAATAAAACTTGTTTTGTAGCTCCTTATAAGTCCTAATTTTTTTCTGGTTTACTTTTATAGTGCCAGACAATTTGAGGAATTACCTACCTATGCATGACATGGAATTTTAATTCTATCTGCTTTATCATAAGAAAGACTGTCCATAATCTTCCAAATCAAGAAATACTGATAAGGCAAATGTAGCTTGTACAATTGTTTCAATTATCTTCTGTATTTTATCATTGTCAATTGTTTATAATCATCATTTTCTTAGTCATTTTAAGAACAGGATTTATTTTAATGAGAGTTAATATGAATTTAAATTTTATTTCAGGAAAATAATTTGCAAATGAACTATCAATTATAAAAACAGGAAGTTTCAGAGTTTACTAGGTTTTTCATTATATTGTTGTGACACTTCCATTTAGTATCAATTCTTCTGTTAGCTTGTCTTTCCTACATTGCATGGTTAGCAAGAATGAATTCTGATCTAAATTAAGGCATATTTATAAAATCTAAAACAGCATAAACTCAGTATTATTGTGATTGCAATATTTTATTTTTTAGAGTTGATGATAAAATACAAACTAGGGTCATTATTCAGTAGTATCCTTTTCCCCTTCCTGTGTAAGAGATCACATCTAGCTTGGCATTGGTGGTGCCCACCTTTAATCTCTGTGAGTTCGAGGTCAGCCTGGTCTACAGAGTGTGTGCCAGGACAGGCTCCAAAGCAATACAGAGAAATCCTGTCTTGAAAAACCAAATGGGAGAGAGAGAGAGAGAGAGAGAGAGAGAGAGAGAGAGAGAGAGAGAGAGAGAGATCACATCTAGATATCCTGAAACACTTCCTAATATGGTAGTATTGCATCTTTCAACTTCCTTTTCTATGACTACTACTTTCTTCCACGTCTCTTCCTGACTCTGTGCTTGGAAGCAATGGCCAATGTTTACAAAGGACTGACAAAATAATCTGAACATTAGTTTATGAGCTGGGTAATGCACATTGTCAAACTTGACAAGATCCAGAATCACTATGGAGACAAGCCTCTGGGCATTTCTGTTGGAAGTCATATAGTTTGGATCAACTGAGGTAGGGAATCACACCAAAATTGCCATTGGAATTAAAAGGTGAAAGTGAGCTGAACATGATCATTTACTGATAATGGGGGATGTCCTATATTCTGTGAATATATGTTTCTCTTATTGGTTGATGAATAAAGCTGTTTTGGCCAATGGACAGGCAGGATTTAGCTAGGCAGGACATCCAAACAGGGATATAGAAAGGTAGTAGGCTGAGTCAGGGAGACATCATGTAGCATGGTCATTCTCCAGTAAGCCAAGATCATGTGGAGTTACACAGATTAATAGAAATGGGTTAATAATTAAGAGAGAGATAGACAATAAGAAGTCTGATTCATTGACCAAGCAGTTTATAACTAACATAACCCTGTGTGTGTTTATTTGGGAATAAATGGCTGCAGGACCTGGCAGGTCAGAAACTTCCATCCACACATTATGCTCTGCCTCCTAAATGTGGGTGCATAGCCACCAATTGCCATGAGCTCTTGTCATCATGAGCTTGCCAGGATGGCTATGCCATTTTACGGTGAATCAAAATAAACTCTTCCTTGTTTAAAATGTTTTTGTCAGAGTGATTTGTTACAGCACCAGAAAGAGTAGCTGATACAATCTATATGTTAATTCTATTTGGTATCCTGGGTTTGGTGTTTTATTTGCCTTGCAGAGACAGTACCAATTTCTAACACTTTCTGATAATAATTACTAATGGAATCAACACATTTACATCTCATCTCCAGTTTCCTAGTTGTTTCTTCCCTCATTTCAATTTATTCCTTCTCAGAAAGTTGAATAAATTATATATATACATACATGCACACATACATACTTCTTTTCATCTTATTATGACAGGGAGAGTTTCGTATTCTTTTTCCTTTTTGATGATGCTATCACCTTTCATCATAAAACATAAACTTCCATTGCAAGACAGCTCACCACCTAAAGAAAAAGAAAGTTTAATTGACTTAATTATTTGTTCACACATTTCATCTAAAAAGGTCACCAGAACTTTTGGATCATAAATCATGTGTACTACCTATTCCGAAAGCAGTTCTAAAACTTCAACAACAAGAAACCTTCCTCTCAGCCTTCAAGTGTTGATTATATCAACAGATTTTCTATTTCTCGATTAAATGATTAAATGCAATTACTTTAATATTTTCATTTCCTTTTGTAACTTAACTCATGGAGGAAAGGTACCAGACATAAAATTTGAAATGCAGCTGGGTTGTTTGAAATGAATAATGTCTGCTGGGTGAGACATTGAGTCAAGGGTTTAGTTTGCAGAATAAGGAAAGTATTTTGTGAGTCTTGCTGGAAAAGCTGACAGCCTAGCATAAGCAGCCTCCCTTTTAGATAGAGAACTGTGAAGATGAGAACAAAGTGCTACTTTGGCTAGAAAAACAAAGCCAAAAAAAAAAACCCCACTTATGTAGCCAAGTGAGCTTTATGGGTGAGAATCTCTATTTGATTGCATGTAACTTTCCTATGTTCTCTTTTGTTTTATAAAATGAAAGTTATGGGCTTTTAAAGCATTAAGGCAAACGTCTGAACCAGAATTCATGAAGAACAGACTTCACGGAAAAGGGCAGTGAAAGCATTCTTGTTGCTCAATACAGAACGTTATCTTGAACAGATTACAAACCAAAAATCAAGGAGTTTACTGACTGTTGCTTTCATCAGTCTAAGCCTTCCAAATTTGTGCTGAGTTCAGTTGTACAAATGGCAGATTAGTTGAGACTACATTTTCTAATGGCAAACACACGATGGCAACTGAAAGTGTGAGCTTTTCAATGAAGTCATTCTCTACATGGATTAATGTGAAAAATTAGAGAATGCAAAAATGGATTGAAAAATATTAGACAGCATACATTTTACATAAAAATTCAAGATTTGATATAAATTAAAGCTGCTAGAAAAAAATAGGTATTTAAGTTGTCTAGAAAGCTCACTGTCTTAAGAATGAGGGTTATTAATTTCATCTCATTTGAACTTGAACTTGAACTTGTGGTATTCTGAGTAAGCATTAAACATAGCTAGGATTCTTACCACGAAGGAGATGAAAGAACTCTGACTAGGTTAGAAGCTATGAACTTTGTCTCTGGTGCCATTGTAAACCAGCTGTGTACGTCTAAATAAGGAGAAAAGCCTGTCTCCATGCTGATGCATTGAAATAGAATTACATCATGAAGGGGTTAGTTAAAGGACAAACCAAAATTTTCCATAAACCCTGGTATTCTTTCCTGACATAATCAACATGTATATGTTGACTCACAGATATTAATAACATAAATTCATCTCAAGGAATTTTCTTCCTCCTTATGGAAACAACAATGATACATAAACAGAGGTCTAGTTTGTAAGATTCAAGACAAATTGAAAGCTCTACTTGCAAGGGAAAGGGGACTGCAGAATGAGAAATGCTAGTAGATGGGTGTGGTAGACACAGAGTTAATTGAAGGAAAATGAGTTAATGAACTCCAGGGAGGCAACTATATTGCAATATAAAACATTTTCTTGGCTTCTCAAGTAACTATTGATTTAACAATGCAATAAATGAAGTAATATAAAAACAGAGAGCCAATATCACTCAGGAAAAATCTGCTAGCAAGCTGTTCAGCATGACCTCTTTTTATAAAAGCCAGTTGTGTGAACAAATGAACACCATGATTAACAAGGTCAGTATAATTCAGAGATGTTTAAAATGACCACATAATGAACTGCAGTTATTGGTAAGGGTGATTGGGGCTCTTAGATAAGCTGAAATAATTTGTGGTTTATGTGTCAAACTTTCCTGATCAATTGAATTTTGGCTATCAACTATAGCCTCTGCAATATTACCCTTTATTAGTAGATCTTAATGATTCTGTCCAAAAACAGTCAAGTCCTTAGATGTGATCTGGGGAAGTTACCATCTCAATGTATTTTGGCACAGTATAAAAGAACTGTTCCAAGTAAATGGATGACAGAAAAGGAAAAAGAAATATAGTCTATAATGATCTATCTACTTGGAACTGGTTAAATCCTCATGGATTATCAATAGAAAGTCCTGTAGTCTTGCTTAAAAATGTTGTTTTTAGTTTGTCAAAGATATGTGAATTAAAATATAACAATGAGGAAATCAAACAGTCCTGCCACTAAACTTACTAACTACCTGTCCCAATCATGAATTTGCCTGAAGAAAAAGAAAATCACCTCCTAAAGTTCAAAAAGAATTCCTTATTGCACCTATGTCCAGTATGTCAGATAGACTAAGCAATTACATGCATATAATTATAGTTTCCTTTATTTCTTGCCTATGAAAATATGATGAGAGACATCAAAAGATTAACATAATCACTTTATGACATTGCAAAATAAAAATTTATATTTAATTAGAGCATTACTGGTAAAGGTTAGCTTTTATTATCACAAAATATTCATGATAAACTTTAAGTCATGAATCTTATTACATAAAAAGAAATATGGTACAAAATAATATTTATTTCTGAGATTTCTTAAATGTATTACATTAGTTCCTATGTATACAGACTAATACTAGTATGACTGACTTTCTCTTATATTTTTTGGTTGTGAGCCTAGCCTTTAATGGCTGAGCCATCTCTCCAGCCCCTGACTTTCTCACAGACAGGATTGTTTTGGAAAGAAGATATCTAATAAGGCAAAATTCATTGTATCTATAAAGAAGACTGATTATGCTAATAAGAAACATAGCTGAACCATTGTTTAATTCTTCTCTTCATAAAATTGTCAAGTAGTATTTTATTATAAAAATGTACTTAAGGTATCTATCAGCATCCCAAAATTTCACCCCAAGAGAGATATACATGGTACCCCAGAGAAGGGGAATTGGACCGGATCTCCTGAGCAGATTGAGAGCATGGAGGAAGGGGGAGAGGGAGCTGGGGAAAAGAAAGGGGAGAACATAATTTAAAGAACAGCAGGGATTACATAGAGGACCTGTTTTTAGAAAAAAAAAACATACAAGAAAGAAAAGGGGAAGAAAAGAGGAAAAGAGGAGGAAGGAAAGAAAGCGGAGGGAAGTGGTATTCCTGCTTTGATGTTGAAAGTTCTGAGTTCCCAGATTTAGCCATATATAACTTGTGTTCTCTCTTATAATCTGGATTGTATTTAAAACAAAGTCTAATATTATTTTTGAGTTGATTTTGGCTAAGGAGCTCATTTTCTCTAAGAATATTTGAATTAGCAGCAATAGCATCTTTTATTTTGTATTCATCATTTTTGAAGATCAACAGCCTACCATCACTGAGGTAAATCCCATGCTACTGAGGTCACATGCACTTCACCAAGATCTTTACTGAATGACAAAATCTCTATGCTCATACTTGATTTTAATGCTTCACACAAACTTTCAGTACCAATGTAGAATCCATACTCAGTTCCATAAAATAGCTGAAGACTTGAAATATCCAGAGTTAGGTTGTTATATGATAGTCATTCTTTGTGAGCACACTACCTCCCAGAGGGCTTACCACACTGAAAGGGTAAATGCTTTTAGTGGAGGATCAGTATTAAATAAATACATTCTCAGCCAGCCAAGCATCCAAAAGGCCCCAAAACACTGGCAAGTCTTTTACATTTCTGTTTTCTGACCTGGATTGAACCGGACACATTGAAATAATGTGAGAAAGATTGTTTTTAGCCAGAAGGGGAAGTAAATCTGCCAGCTCTCCAGTGAGCAGGCCTTTCCTCTTTCCAGCTTTGACCATCTGAGAGGTCATGTTAGACCTAGCCCATAGTCTGAACCACAAAGCTTTTCAGATGATGGAGGTCTTTAACTGTAGGAAGCATGGTACTGTTGAAAGGCAGATGTTGCCAAGCAGCAGAGGTGAATGGCTAACCATGGTCTGGAGAAGATTATAGCAGTCCATGTAATGTGCCTTGAGCTGGAGTCTCAGTAACCGTGTAACCCAGTCCAATCGGGGACACCTAGCAAAGGGTCTCAAGGTGTGCAAGGAACTTTCCTTCATCCACATGTAATGAAGGAAGCATATCAATAGTCAATTCTCCACGTAAGGCATGGTACACTAAGCTTATGCATTAAGGATTACTTGAGATGGTCTCAATTTATAATTTATAAGTAACTCTAAACTTTGTTAGTTTTTACCTTGGTCTCCAATGACCAAATATTTCCTCTCCATACTTAAACATTTTCTAGTGTAGAACAGAGAATCATGTCTCATCCAAGATTATATATTGTTGTCAACATTTAGAAAGATTTTCTTTTTGTTCTACTTATTTTATCTTATTAAAAACATAACTTTATTTTCTTTTGGAACCATGAACCAAAGCTGAAAGGTCCCATGAAAAGTCAAACATCCTAGAAATATTCTGAGGAAAGAAGTGACACATTATCCTGATTTCACACAAACATTACTCCTTGCCTATGTCTATATGAGCAAGAGGATCACAAACTGAGCTCATTTTTGCCTTTTTGGTCACTAGCAAGGAACAGCTGGAGCCTCTTCTCTGTGTATTCACTTTTGTACACGTGGAGATCAAGCTCAGCTCTCAGTGTTTAGCCAAGACTAAACAAGAAATGTTTGGACTGCCTAATCACTTGTATCTCCAGCTCATTAGCTATCATCAGTGGATGACTCCCCCAAGTTCTAGGATTATAAGTAGACATAGTAGCCTTGAAAAGATGAGGAATTCTGAAGGACACACATTTAAAATAGTTTTATGTTTCCTGAAGTGTTTTGCTTAGTACTTTGGTTCTAGGTAAGAAAGGCATACAATTGATACATGTGCTCAAATGGATTGATTTTGCCCATTCTCAGCAACAATCTTTAAATGTGTTGATGGTGTATCTTTTCCCCACTTTGTTCATTTGGGTCACATCCCAGTCACGAAGCTTAATGTTTACATTTGAATAGACATGATAATCTGTTTACAAATACTCCATTATTTTGTCTATA